AAGCAGGGATTGATTAAGGGGTCTTACTGAGTATGAATGGAGGAGGCTCGCCGTGAAAGCTGGCTCAAACACATCTCGATTGGATTTAACTCTCTGCCTCTGCCTTCCACCGCTAGATGGCAGCACAGAGCAGGGGAGGGAAAAAAAAGTATAATGTGGCACTCTAAAAAAATGATCTATTGCGGTTTAATTAAAACTGCATGTTATGTATTCATGGTTAGGTTGTTTTATTTTATGGTCTGTGTAAAACATTTAATTGAATAAATTAGTTATCTTTAGAAGTACTATTTTGAAATACAGTACAACTTTTTCAGCTTTGAACGTCTTTTGAAACTCACGAATCAGGTTTCTACGCCTGGACAAACTCCGTAAATCGTACCCTTCCTTTAAATCACATCTGAACAACAATATGACTTATTCGCTCTAATAAAACGTTGCTCGTCCAAATGACTCACTGTGAAAACAGTCCAAAATGATGGATGTTCATAATTATCCGTCGTGTGTCGCCTTAAAATCTAATCTGCAATAAAAAAAAAGCTTGAAACCAAAATATAAAAGGAAAACGTCAATATTTTCACACCAGGGCAAATAATACGGGAAATAAAATCATAACGTGCTTGCAGGAAAACCGCAGTACGTGAACCGTAGCTCAGATTTCCTATGAAAACATGTCCGAATAGTGCAATGAGGAAATAACACGGCCCGTTAATAGAAACCGGGAAACAGCGGGAGAAAAAATGTGATCGGGGTCATATCCGTGTAGAACTCGCAAAATTCAGGTTGGGAGGGAGGACCACGCCCTGCACCTTTCCGCCTGAAGATCTGCAGCAGCTGCACCACATTGTGACGATTCAAAACCAGCTCCCAGCGACAGTAACCACAATTCTCAGTCAACACAGTCGTTTCAGGTATCTGGGCAATGTTTATGAGACATACTGTTACTAAAAAAGTGACGAACCCCAAGAGGTTAAACATTTCAACCCGTCAGTTGTCACCTTGGTGACTGTTTAGTGCTGCTAGCCTGCAAGACACACTAGCAGCTGTTTCACTTCCTGTTTCCTGCATGGAAAAGTTCTATAAGGGAGGAAAAAAGATGGGAAACTCCTGACCTGGAAAGATCCTGGAGTCAGATTGAATTATATTTATATTTACATGAATAATGTAGTAGTGCATGTTTATTGATCCCTGCTTGTTCATCATTAATAAATCATGACAGTTCATGTATTCAATTCAGGAACTATATTAGTTAATAGTTAACTAATTAGTTAATAATGGTAAGGCCACTTGAGGGGGGCAAAGATTACTTAACTAATTTACTACTCAAGAGCATCATGAACTAATATAGGTTTCCCCAGGAAATACATGAACTGTAATGATTGATTAATGGTGAATGAACATAGGATCATTACTTAACAAATACTTAGTTACTGGTTAATTAATGCATTAAATAAGCGTGTACTACTACATTATTCATGTTCCCTCAAGGAAAGTGTTACCGCTAAGGTGCTGCTAAAGTTACATCGTTCAGTGACTGCATCTCTCTGGAAATCAGCTGCGGCCACACCCAGAGCTGCAATTTGGAGTCTGTAAACACCCTAACGCACTGATTGAAACGAGATCCTCTAACTTGCATATAATCAGAAATCCCGAAGAACAGAGGTGATTCTTATCAGAATCACAAATCTGACTTGACTGATCTGTCCACTGTTATTTTATCGGGCAGTGAAGTAATTCAAGGTAAGTATGGTCCCCAGGGTTAACCCCCCCCTCCCCCCCAACCCCAACCCCATTGCCACCATCACCCTCCCAAGACCAAAAACATTCAAGTCCAGATCAGACCCAAGCCCTGAAGCAAATCACTTCAATGGGACCCCCATGACACATACCCCCTCCCACCAGGACCCAGACCCCAAGCAGACTGCCTAGGGCAGGCTGTAGACCTCTGATCTGAGGAGCATCATCAGAGTGTGGGGACCTTAGCAGATTAATGCAGCAGATATCTGACATACATTTATAAGCTGACAGGCCGGACCGGCAACGCCCCGAAAGCGCAGCGTCCATGCAGTCATTCTCGAACATCAGGGGCAGTTTTGGGGATGAGGTGGGGGGGGGGGCAGTGCCCCATGATAACATGTATGGCCCCCCTGCGGCCCCTCTAAGCACATTTTCTTGATGCACTCTTAATGCAAGTTCGCTGGGTGATCAAGCTGCTTCAGTCAGTGACAGAAATAAATAATCAAGCTTGCGGCAGCAAGGCAGTCTAAACAAGAAATCAGAGTGACTTACATATTTGTAAAAACTAAAATGTGACTGCAAGCATTGCACAAATAACTTATGGTTTTTCAAATTTGTCATTTGCTCCTTAATGCTTGGCAATCTAGCAATATCTGCAGTACAGTAACGTCAAAATACATCTGGTCCCCCTAATAGAGTAATGAGCCTCAGTCTGCTGAACACTGTGTTCCTGAACACCTGATCTCAAGCGACGTGGGGAAGTGCTGAGCCCTGTAAGGCACTGTCAACCAGAGAAGCTTGTCCAGGGCAGCGGGGAAGGGGGTCACCGCTCAGCCGAAGAGACACATTACCGGCCATCACTCAAACTGTCAGGCAGCTGCTATTTCTCTGGTGTCTGGGGGTGGGTTGATTCTCAGAGGGGTCAGCAGTGCTCCCGGAAGGCTGACGCAGTGTCACACTTTGCTCGCTGCTTGTCGATAGTCATGTGACCAGCGGGAGATCCACACGTGTGAACTTAAGCATAAGGGCATCCGAGCCAGGGCAGAACAGGGACGCCGTTTTGGTCAGTAACCTGCATTATCCACCACCACGGACTCGGCTCCGCACCTAGCTCTGCTGTCTTCTCGTGATTGCTCATCTTATCTTCAGTGGTTTATCTCCGTGCTGCAGGCAGGTGAGGCTAAAGTTCAAAGAGGTCACCTATTGTCCCAGCGAACTGACCTGATTTGCAGTCATCCGCTCATTCTTCCATATGGAGATTATGTACGGCAGGAACAAAAACCAGGTAAGGGGAATCCAGTGGAGTGTGATCCGGCGACACCCCCAGCCCCCCCGGCTAGCTGACAGTTCCATCAATCACAGACGATGTCAGTGACCTCAACAAGTGGACAATCAATATTTCTTCACTCTTTCATTTCTAACATCACGGGCTGAATTAAATTCATTATTCATTCATTATATCCCTGGAATGAATTTATATACTGAAATTCAACAACGAATGTTCCCGTTGAAATACCTGAAGCAGCCACGAGGGGGAGCACTCACAAGCACGTGAAGCATCTCCAGAATTCATTGTCTCTTAAATTTAAACCTTAAAGTTATATACAGACATAATACGTCAACCACAGCCAGACCTTTGGAACTAAGTTAAGCAAAAAGTAACAAAGTCAAACACCATGAAGGGTAAAACACTCCTTGTGCACTTTTTTAGAAATTATAAATTTTAAAGGATGTTTACAAATCAGAGTGCGAGGCAGCTTTTAATCACAAACGAAAAACCAGGTCTGCATAAGCAGCGCGGCAAGCTGACAAAGTGCATAATCATTAGAGAATCCAGTAAATGATTTGAAATTTACTATGCAAACGAGATGATTTAATCCTCATATCAGCACAAAATTTACAAAAGATCTCCAGCTTAAATAAACAAAGGGATAATCACTGTGGCATCATGTAAAAGATCTATCACCAGGCTGAGTACACAGCAGTAATATGCATCGTTCGGATTGGCTGCAGCGTTCATCTGCCTGTTAATTCGCTAGTAAGCCCACCAGGTAACCATGACAGGCTGTGTATTTAGTGCCAGTCGTTTGGCTGCCTCAGAGATGGTTATCTTTCTCTCCTCGGCTGTCCAAATAAAGTGAGGGGCAGTTCTCATACCTGGACTCCATCTTTAACCTTCCAGAATTCCTGCCATATCTGAGAGATGAGCCTCTTAAAGTGTATAAAGCTGCTAGAATGTCCATTGGTTGATAGAGGTTGATCAGAGGCGGTTTCTGCTTAGGCAGTGCCACCGTGTGGCCGAAAGAGTGCGCCTTGGGAAAGGGAATTGCCTGGGGTCACCCCCCCCCCCGACTCCCAGCTCCTTTCAAGCCCGATCTCACAGAGCATGAAAAGGCACAGAGACAGTAATCCTTAACACCCCAGGCCCATGTGGTTAATGAGGGCCACTTAAGTCCGCAGCCAGACATGTGAGGGTGGGGCCCACAGAGGAGGGGGGGGGGGCTTGGGACCCAGTCACATGCTCTCCCATGTAATGAAAATCATATTGGTGGCTTCTTGGCGGGTTGGCGTGAAGCCCCAATGCACTGGTCCTGCGCGCCACAAATAAAGGCGTGTGTGCGGATGCTAGGAGTGGAAAAGTAGCTTATTGCTGAAATGGGACAATCAAGAGTCACTTTCGCCGCCCACACCCAGATGTTTCACAAGCTACATAAATAATTAGCAATTAGAGCCAGAAGATCCCAGCTAGCTGGTTCGCAGAACATGCTGCTTTAGCATCTCCTAAATAAGGAATGTGTATGTTTCATTTTTCGTGTAGTGACTGTTTATGGCCAGCAGGGGGCCATAACCAAAACCCCAGGGGCCCCATACAAATGCCGCTGCCGAGTAAACGTTACAAACTGCTATTAATTAAATAAGCTCCTTGAACATGCGATGAGATGCAGGGGTGAGGGAGGTACATGCAGTTTACCTGCAGAGACCTGCACCTTTCTGACAGCTGTCAGGGCTACCACTGCAGACTCCCAGCTTTGGGACTGCAGCACTGTTTGGGGTGATTCTCCTCAAATGCCCCAAATACAGATGTTGGCGTGTGATGCCCCTTTGGGGTGAATTGTGAAGACCATCTGGTCTTGGGACCATTCTGGAGACCTCTCAGAGGTGAAATGCAAACGGTCAAGCTGCCTGCTGAAACTACACTCACCCACCCCCAAAAAAAGGATTTAAAAAAAAAAAAAAAACAGGAAAAGGCAAGAAAGAGACAGGAAAGATATGGGAGGCGGTGGAGAAAGGTCAGGAAAGAGCTGACACGATTGGAGGCTCGACATCAGCGGCGTGGGGTTTGAGCACAGCAGACAGCGTCAGTCTTATCCTATCAGGTACGGGGCTGTGCAGACATCCGCCGTAACTCAGATCATCCAGACAACCGTCAAAGCAAACATCAAACACCCCGCTGTTGACTCACCATTCCTGAAAATATTGAAAGTATTATGGTCATTAGAAGCCAGTGCAACTCTATCATTAACTTTCGAAGGCTGACTTCAGAAGGCATTTGAGTTTTAATGACGTGCAAGTGTTGTTAAATGCAGCAGCTATAGGATCTTTAGTGTAGGTAGTAGCAATGACGGCAAATATCATTCATCCGTCTGACGTTAATTGTGCTGATCGTGTCATAATTTGTGTATCAGTTGTAGGAGTGAGTTCGAGTGGATGGTGTTAGTAAAACTTACGCGGGTGTTCAGAAGGGGTAGGTGAAGCCTGCATCGGGATCACCCAGCCAATCTCCTAGGGGGGCAGGGCCCTTGCTGAGATTACCTAAAGCGAGGAGGAGGGTTATCAGCCGCCGTGCACGAGCGGAGCGCCAGAGACGCGCGGCGCCCAGCCTCTATTCGGACTCTACGTGCATTTCGCGCAAGTTAAACTTTTGTTTAGTTGCAGGAAGAAGCGGAAAATCTCTCTGCACCTGGTTTAATGACTGTAGAAATTCCCGGAGGATTTTTTTTTGTTAAAAGGGAAGTCTATTTTCTGCCCTGAAAAAGACCTTAAGTAGTCTTGTAACTGTACAAAGCTTGAGTCTCCTGGACCCGAAGCGATCATAATGTCAGATCTTTCTGTGAATGATCATCTTGAGGGAATATTGTCAGATTTCGAAGGTAGGTAAACATACCTGAAATGACAACAAAAACAGCAAGAAATAATGATAATAATTCACTTGATTATAATGGTGCGTAAATATATAACATATACCTACTGTTAAATATATATTCTTACGCATGGTGTGATTGTAAATATGCCGTTTAATGAACACATGCTTAGTGCAATCACATCAGTGTTTCTCGTTTTAACGTAAAATTAGTGAATTCAGTCCGGTTTGTAGATGCAGTGTAGTAACGACCGCTGCTTTAGTAAAAGCGTGGACGCTGGACGACACGGCTCTCCAGAGCAAACCCCCGACTCCTCTCATGTATAAAGTAATCAGTCCTGCTGATTTCGTCCAAAGTATGGTATCTAACACAGCGCTTTCTGGCCAGATTTTCTATTAGTGACACAACTGTAAGCATGCATCATGCCAATACATAGTTTACAAACAAAAAAATGAACAGTTCTCGTTCTTTCCCGCAAAGTTGCTGCTTAGCGCTGCATTTTGTAATCTGTAATAATCTATTTTGATACAGTAAAGTAAAAGAAGTTGCTTAGATACTGATTTCCAGCACTTATACAGTATTCCAATTTCTGTGACCGTACCTGCTTAGTATATGGATTTTAATTTGCTCTTTCCGGAGTGGTCAGATTAAGTTACTGGGTTCATATATCCTGTTTATACAATGTGAATTTGCTGTGTTTTACATTCTTGAGTTGCAGTTTAATTGACTTCCGAGAAGTGAGTGTTTTTGACTCCATACATCTGTGCTCGAGCTTTTTATATCTCCGGTGCTCGTATATACTTCGATATCTGGCGAAAGCCCAACATCGCCTAAAGCTAATTAATCAAGCGTATATCTTTGTGGTAAAGTGCGTGCTGTAAGTTCCCAGAAAAAAGAGAGAGCAGGCTGGTCTTAAGAAACGCGATCTCACTGAAATGTAGGCTATGGATAATCGCAGGAGAACTGCATGACTTAATCTTAAAAAGCACGCAGATATTAATTGCATTAAGTGCTTGATTGTTTATGAGACTGTAAACTTTTCAGCAGGGCGCTTAAAACGAGTGGCAGGGCAATTTCCAAGAGTAGCCTAATTTAAAGGCCCTGTTAAGTTTAACGGGTCTAAATAGCCTACCTCATTCTCACTGTACGTCTTTCTCTGTTTATTTTCTCTGCAGTGGTAATTAGGGCCTGTTTTTCAGGTTAAACTCAGGATATGGCTGCACACAGTATACATATTTTAGGTCATGATTTCTGTCATGTTACCTGTAGCTTGAGGCGGTTTTCGGAAACTTTGTTTACAGCACAGGACTTGAGAGGAACTGTAATTTCAGATACTCTGCTAGGTCAGGTGAAAGCGGAGAGATACCAAACGTAATAAACGCTCTTGCATGCGACAGTGCGTCACATCTGATGATGTCATCCCTCGGTCGTGGCTCTCTGCCAGTGTCGTAACACGATGTTTCTCCTCAGAAAGCTGTGTGATTATTTTCAGTTTCCGCACTCTCATTAGCATGCCACTTCGCGTTATCAGTCGAAATGCTGGAGCACATATATAAAATATTATAACGTGGGCTTTGTGTTTCTGAAGCGGCCATCTAATCTTCTTTGTCTGCAGTATTGGCTTTAGCTGCTCAAATGCATTTTCTGAACCTTTAAGTCTTGTTACTGGTATAATGAATGTTTTGTTGTAGACAGTGAGAGGGGACAGAACCCACTGCCTAAGCGACCCTGTGGTCACTCTATAATAAATACTCCTCCTGTGATGGTCCCCGTAGGACTTACTTCTATGTTTATGAAGACTTTGACTCAGTTGGCTGCTCTGTCAGTAAATCATTACAGTCACTGGTCCTTAACATGAACCCAGTTGCTTTCCAGGACAGGCTGGGGTGGGTCCCAGGTGGGTGCTAAGCCAGGGACGATAGCGGGAACCCCATCTTGCGGTTCTCTATTGATGGAGTGTTTGAAGGGGCCTTAATCAGGGTCTCTGGAGTGACAGCACTGGTGGGTTCGCTGGACCATACGTTGGAAAGTGAGGAGCCATCTGGCCATGCTGACGAGTGGCACTAAATCAAAATGGAGACCTGGGTGACGGGCCCTCACTGCATTCCTATACCCCCCAACCCTGCCCCCCCGAATTCCAGTTCACGCAGGACGCTGAAGGCAGCTGATCTTAAAGGTGGGGAGGATTCTTATAGGTCCCTGGCTTAAGTTCAGCTGTCTGAATGCTGCCTGACAGTCCGCTGGAACTCCCTGGTCCTGGGTCTCCGTGGCGACCTGACTCCTCTTTTTTTGCCGCCCTGCTTGGGATGCCTGTTCCGTTTCCAGGATTTTTGTGGTGAGAAAAAAAACAGGTCAGGTGGTTTCCCAGAAAATGGCAGGGAGGGGGCAAGATGATTACAGGCCTCTGGGCTGTGGACTCACTTGCCTCCTGTCCCCAACCACAGAGCATCATTTATGTTCTTACCTATAAACAGGAAAACAACACGGGGGGGGGGGGGACACTTAAAAGCAGAAAAAGGAAAAAACTAAATCTCACCGCATTAGTGGATGGGGGGGGGGCTATCTTCCCTACTTCAGCTGTCTGAGTATTGCTCCCCCCCGGGGGGCTGTTTTTTTCAAAAAGAAGACTGATATGAGCTATTTGCACTTGGGCGACCAACAAAGACTCCGGACAAGTGCAAAAACCTGACTGGGCTTCTGGCGGGGGGTGGGGGTTGGTGGTTGACGGTGCTGCCATTTCCATGGCAACGTCGCGGAAACGCTGGCTCAGAAGTTCAGTTCCAGATGTGCCGCACGTCTCCGCAGGTGAGCGATTCCTGCCGCCGGGTGGTGGGGTCGTCACCGAAACACCTGGGAGGAATGCGGGCCCTGGGCTGGGGGGCGAGTCACGACCCGTCCAGAGGCTTGCACACCAACTGGAAACAGCTCCGATCCCCCCCCCCCTTCAAAAAAAAAAAAATCAGCAGGGGACATGCATTACTCAAGCCAGAGGCTCAGCAAGGCGGGGAGCTCATTAGAGTTGCGGCACTCTCACTCCAGGGCCCCCGCATTAACTGGCCTGGGGGGCTGCTGGCTGTAATGTATGAAATAACCACCCCCCCTCCATTCACCACAGGCAACAAACTCCTGATTTCCATGGCCTGGAAGTAGTGGTGGTGTCAGATAACAGTTAAAGTAGAGCTCTGGTAAAGTCACTTGGTCTCTTCGCTAGAAGTTGGAGTCCTTCAGCCTCATGTCTCCAAGAGCTGACCCCGTACAAGGCTGACCCCGTACAAGGCTGACCCCGTACAAGGCTGACCCCGTACAAGGCTGGCACAGGACTGGGGCTGCTGGCCTCCTGCAGGAGGGGGAGCCGGACCGTCTGAGATGAGAGTGCTCATGTGCGGGAATGCAAGGTTAGAGTACTGCACCTGCTCTCAAAACGATCAATGACAGAAGCACACCCTCCACACCTCCGGGGGCAGACCCAGCTTCGTACAGCAGCATGGTCGAGGAGCTCGGCGTGCATTTGGTTTCTACGATTCCCCCACAGACAAAGCGAGGCGCCTCTTGTAAACTGAGATGCCATGCCAGCCCGAACCTGCGGACAACGGCGTGTTTGGTGGTAATTACGCCCCGGTGTGGCCCATCACCTGATACCAGGTTCCCCCATTTTTGCATCACTTGAGATAACAAGTCCTCGCTTGCTTACGGCCATGCTACGGAGCCATTACCGGGGTGCCCCGCTATGAACTCGTGCTGGGGCAGGAAGCTGAAACTGTACGTTCTTCATAAGCCTGTCTGCCGTCTAATCGTCCAGAGCAAGCATTCAGGGCACTGCCTGGGTGTGAACAGTGAGCTGGAGGATGTCCATTTGTTTCAGAAAAATTATGAAGAGCACAGCAGAGTGAGTAAAGGCAGAGTACAAATGGGTAGAGGCAGAGAACAGGAAGTGCACAGGCAGAGAACAGGAAGTGCACAGGCAGAGAACAGGAAGTGCACAGGCAGAGAACAGGAAGTGCACAGGCAGAACAGGAAGTGCACAGGCAGAGAACAGGAAGGGCAGATGAGCATTTATCATACATTAAATTCAGAGGGCTGTCCCAGTCTGCAGAGAGGTTGCATTTGCACAGACCAAACACTGTGGGTGCAGTACAAGGTTGACTGCATAAGTGTGCAAAAAGAAGCACAGCCGGGGGGGGGCATGTGGGTGCCCTGATGGAGTAAGAGAGCAGCCTGAGAGAGGCATGATGGGATTGGGGACACATCCTCAGCCTGTTGAAGCCACACCTTCAGGGGCCTGTTTACTGTGTGACCACTGATAGGCTTGGTTTTCATGCCTTTTGTACAAACGTGTGTTTGAGTGAGTGGACCACATTAAGCAGCCACGCCCAAATGCCAAACAACGTTTCCCAATCCCTCACCCCCCCCACACCCCCCTCCATTCAAAAGGCTCTGTCTGGCTGCTGAGAATTTCATGTGTGTGTCCCGGGCTGCACATTGTTGCCCTGCTGGAATCTTGGGTCGGCATGCAGGCTGCGGTAATCCAACCCGTCGACCCAGGACACCCCAGCGCTGAATCGGGTCTTTGTGCTGGAGGAAGAGCAGCCGTTTCCGACAATGGAGCAGGGCTGAAAGGCCGTGTTTGCTGTCGGCTGCCCCCCCCCCCAGACTGGGGAATGCAGGTCTGCCATGTTCAGGGCATGGGACTCCGCCCCCACCCCCAACTCTGCCAGCGCCCGTCTTGGGGAGCCGTGGACATCCCAACACTGCCTTTAATTAGGATGCCCTCTGAGTCCGTCTGAAGCCCAGAATGACTTCAGATGTTCAACTGCTTCATCTTCAGACGGCTTAAGTAATGATTCTAACAGTTAGAATCTGCCCAACTTCCTTCGAGTTCAATCATTAAAAAAATAAGATGCTCTGCTGATGTTTTATTCATCTCTGAGTCATATCGCTGATTTTCCATTTTGCAAACTCCTCGCGCCGCAGAGACCCTGACGGTCTGCGAGTTAATAAAGAAGCGAGGTAATATCTGCTCCATGGCCCTGAAAGCGTTCGGGGTCGTTAAAGGGAGATAAGAGCAGCTGCGGCACTGAACGGAACAATGACTCTGCCAGAAAATCTCAGGCCTGCTGAAGACATAATCAGGCTGCCTTCTGGAGGGCGGTGAACCAGCCTTTTCTTTGGGAAACGCCGGCTTTCATGTATCCCACATTACAGGGGAATGACGAATGAATGCTAGGGACTGTTTAAACTTCACAAAGCATCTGAGTGCTCTCTGTCCACACCCAGTTTGCGCTTTCGGAAAGGAGTTAACGTTTAACCTCCGTCGTACTGTGCTCTCTCGCTTTCCCGAATGGTTCTTCTGTTTGTAATACAACAAAATAATATTTTTTCCCCTCTTGTGTCTGAGTAGAGGTAAGGTAAACCACTACAGCAGTCTTTCCCGATCTGGTCCTCGGGGCCCACAGATGGTCCATGTTTTTGCTCCCTCCCTGGTCCCTGTTAGACATGTTAGTCCATATTACTGGTAGCTGGGAGGGAGCAAAAACATGAACCGTCTGTGGGCCCCGAGGACAGGGATGGGAAACACTGCACTACAGAATGGGGGACATTTTTGTTAAAATGGGAACAAGGTCAACCACTGGGACATACACACCCCTCCACTGCAGATTTATGGATCTGACATCTGGCATTGTACTGATGCTCTGTATATCTGTATATCTTCAGTGTAGAACTGGGAATTAACGCAGTATGAACTGAGATTTTCCCATTGCACATAATGTGAAACGCCGTGATGATGCTGGACCATCAGGAGATCTTCATGGCGATAGGCCCCAAACTTAGAGCCACGGGCTTCTCAGAGCCGGATGGGGGGGGAAGGTCTTCACAGGTGACTCCTTCATCCCCCACCGCCGCTCCTACTGGGGGGTGCGGTCACAGCCCTTTGGAGGCCATGGGGCCAGTGTATGCAGTGAGAGAGATCAAACGGCCTCCACCAAGGGAGGAGGGGGAGGGGGGGGGGCAGAGTTACTGGTTACAGCCGCTGCTGTGAAAAGTCCGGTGGAGCAATATGACTCTGATCCATTTAGCCAGGAGCAGCGCTACAGTGACATCACATTTTTATTATTTAATCATTACACGGTAACGACAGTGCATCAAATTTATACCCAGGAATGCATCACGTCAGAGGCTAAATAATTTCCTTAAATTGGGTTAATACTTTGATGATTTGCACTTAATGAAAGTTCTTCTTAGGGTAGTTTTGTTTTCTACAGGTGGCATGGGGTGCTGGGGGAGAGAGGAGCATGAACTGTTAACGAAATCCTCCGTTTGTCTTCACAGCGCTGAAGAGATCCTTTGACATTGAGGATGTGGACGAGATCCCTGCTTACTCTCCTTCCTCGAACCTCAGCTCACCTTTCAGTCCAAGTCCGGTCCTCAGCAAAGCCAATGATGGCCGAGGGCCGGCTAATCATGGGCCGCCCTCCTACCAATCACGGATCAGCGTCGGTTCAAGCCCCGCCCAGAGTCCAGTCATGAAGAGCAAAATGGTGACCAGCCTGTCGTTTAATCGCGGGACCATTGGAGTGGTCAGGGCCAATGGCAACACAGGTTCTGGAATCACCCGTGTCTCATCATTCCAGAGCAGATTCAACCCAAATGGCTTTTTGTCCTCCGGCCCGGGAAGTGACAATGACAGCCTCCACAGCTCCTCCTCTAGCCTGGACTACCAAGGCACCTCCAAGGTCAGCTCATTGGCCAGCCCTCCCCAGAGCCCCATAGGGGTAAGCGAGTATAAGCCCCAGCATCTGGCCAACCCCGCCCTGAAGAAGTTTTCCTCGCATGGCAACGTTTTCCACTCTGAGGTGGAAGCACCCACCCTCCTGGCCACAGAACCCGTAGGTGTCAACCATGGCTCTATGCCATCCCTGGACCTCCAGATCTCTGACAGCAGTGGGAGAAGAAATGCGGGCCCCCTGGGAGTGAGGTATGCTGGCATGGCTCCCACTTGGGGTTCCAACCCTCTTGGAAGGGTTCCATCATTTTCGTCCAGCCCCCAGCCCCCCAAACCCAAAGAACCGGCCCGGCTCAGCAAGTTCCCTCTGGACCTTGATAGCTTGGTGGCCAAACCCCAGGTTCCACTCCTTGAGGCTATCCCGGCACCAAAACCGGCCCCTAAGCACAATGGGAATCTGATCAGCCCCTCAAACACACCCATCATTCCCACCCACACCCTGGATGCTGTCCCCCCATCTCCGGGGTCCCTGCCCGTCCCCAGCATCAGCGAGTCCCCCGTACCCCTCTCCCCAGCCCAAACCCCGCAGCTCAAGCTGGTATCGCAGCCCCAAGTGGTCCAGCTCTCCCCCGACCCAGCGGCTCTGACCCCAGGTCCTGGCCCGGATGTGCTGCAGGATGCCGGGGAGACCGTGGGCTCCATCCTTCAGAGGATCGCGTCCTTTACACCGGCCAGCGCCGTGGGACTCAGACCCAGAGAGAGCAACCGCAGCAACGGGGTGCAGGAGCAAGAAACGGCTGTACATCTCCAGCAGTTCCAACAAGACGGTAAGATCCATACTCTCCATCCAACTCTCCAGTATGGATGAGCCTTTAAACCAATTAAAGCCGTTAAATATCAATTAACCATAAAAAAAACTCATTAAAGATAAATTAACTGATTACGGTCATTAAATATACATTAAATAAATCTGTAGCACTGGGATAATCTGTATGCCTGGTGTTTACTCAGTACGGAACCACATCTGTGACAAATGGAAGGTGACAAATGAACTAGCTAGGTAATTAGCAGTTTGCTAACTCCTTGATCAATGAGGCTTCCAGCTGTGGTGTCCTGGCTAGATGGATCACTGTCACCTTTCCAGGTTGTATCTTCAAAGCCAGGAAAAACAATGATGGAGGAACTTCCTGTCATATCAGTGAACAGCTCGGTGGAAATAGTCATGGCGGTGGCAGGGAGATATTGCTTGTGTGTGGTGAACCCAACTTGGCCGCGGCATAATTGTTTACCGTTGGCAACACTGGCTGATCGCGGTTGGCTTCCTGTGCAGCTGGGCCTGTCCGGTTATCCCCCACAATTCAGTTCACCCTCAGGACGTTCAAGAGTCTCATCCGCAGAGGTGAAACCTGCAAGTGCCAAATGATTTACGGCCCGTATCAGATCAGCGAGATGTAAATGCTACTGCGGCCTTGTGTTTACCCCCTGGCACGCCAGCTGCAGGCTACGCAGGATCGACGGCGATGGTCTCGCGGTTTATATGGCGGTTCATGTACAAGCGGTGGCAAGAAACCTGAGATTTGTTGCACATTATAGTTGAGACATCTTCCGCTGAAGGCATAAACAGACTGGCGTGTGAGTGGAGCCACTGCCAGAGTAATGTACAACAAGGACCCGGGGCTAACCCCTAGGCTCACCTCCCAAACATATTTTTATAATATGTTTTCACATGGAAAGGAAATAATGGAACGTGCCATTATTTTCCAAAAGAAGCGGGTTTGTATCCTGCTGGAATGTTATGTATATTTTCGTGTGATGATTGTGTTTCCAGTCCTGTGCTCGTTAGATAGCTGCTGAATTTAAATAGTTACGGCCAGTCGGCCACAGTCAATGTTGTCAGGACCCTTTGTCGGCCAGTCCGATGCCTGCATGTAATTCACTGTTTTTGGAGGCTTTGTTTTCTTTACCAGATAAAAACTCAGTGAAGGGGCTACATGGCTTCCCAGAAACAGCCCTCCCAGCATTTTTTTCCCCCATTTCTTTTGTTTATCTTTGGGGGTCATGCAATGAAAGGAAGTTGATTCTTTTGCCGGCCTGAGAAAGCTGTTATCACTGCAGGGGTCCTTAATTTGATATGTTCATTGAAACAGACTCTCTGCGGCACTCTATGGTACAATCACGCGGTCTTGTGGCGAGAGGTTGAACCGGTCGAAAGGGTTGCCCATCTGGATGCTGATGGCTGACCCGGGTCCCGGCGCTGAGGGTGGGCCCCTGGCTGTTTGTTACTGGGGGCAGGAAGGAAATGGCAGCGGCCTTCACAGCCGGGAAACTTCACCTTGTTTGGACAAAAATAAGTGCTCAGTTCTGTGTTTGGAGGACAGAGACGAGGCTGTTAGGGGGCACTGGGTCCCTCCACCCACTTAAAGGCGCTCGTGCGGCTGTTTGCCTCAGCCGGTCTGGCTGCTCGTGAGAAGCATCGTTACTGACGCCTGTGTGGCCCAAAGGTTGGGTCAGCCCGGCGGTCATGCCCGGCGGGGGCGCATAGGTCAGAACGCCGCGGTGTTTCCTGAGATAACGGCGGAAACGGGCTCCCTGGGTGGGAGCTGAGGGCCGAGGCCCCGTTTTTAGCTCCGGGTTTCCCGTTTTTAGATCAAACGCTGGCGCACGACGTACGAAGACATGAGCGTTCATATGTCAGAACGGTTTTCCCTGAAAAATGAAATGAAGGCTTGGAAAGCTCCGCCGGTCGTTTTAAGACAAACATTTCAGGAGCTGGAGGAGAGGAAACATCTGGCCTGCGAGAGAGGTGAACTTACACCCCTGCGTTGGGCTTTGGGCGTGAGGACCGAAGGGGGATTCCTGTGAGGCGGGTATGAAACCGGGGAGACGAATCACGGCAGTCGCTTCAGAACACTCTCGTCTCCTTCTTGGGGGAGGATTAAACGAAATGCCACTTCACACTCTACGTGGAATCCAAGTGCTGATTTACAGCACGGCCCTCGGCAGCGAGAGACGCAGCTGCATTTGTCTATTTATCATCTAGGGGGCGCTGCGTGGCCCAGTGGGTTAAGATGATGTGTCTGTGATTGGACGGTTGCTGGTTCAAATCCCAGGGTCCTTGAGCAAGGCCCTTAACTCCATCTACTCCAGGGACTGGCTGATCCTGCTGTCTCAGTAGTATCTCACTTTACATAAATGAACTTAAATGTAAATCACTGCTGCACTGCCAATGTGACCATTGTCGTCCATCCTATAGCAGGATCAAGGGTCTGGACTCAGCTGTAGAGCCCGTGCTCCAACTGGGCCGTGATCCCTTCCTCTCTGGGTGTCTGAGCATCCCGTTCCCCCGTGTTTTAATTTGGCTGGCAGCGAGAGGAGATGTACAGTGATTTTTCGGGGGTCCCTTATCTGATGCTCCGCCTCCCAACAGGGCCGTGGAGCTCAATGGCCCACAGAGATTGTTTTTGTTTTTATCTTCATGGAAACTCAATCAGCCATCTGATTACCCAGAAGACAGTCGACCTTACAGAACAATGACTTAATGCAGCAGGCACCAAGTGCCCCTTTTAAAAGAAGATAAAACCTGAATGTGATTAAACTGGGGGGGGGCAATAGCAGAATACCAAAGCTCAGCTTGCAGCCCCCTCACACACTGATGAGCACACCTCCTTAAACCAAGCGTCACAACACTTAACCTAAATTGGGTCTTTTTCACAATAGTATGACAGAGGATGTAAATGTTTATTAACAAAAAGGTTAGACAGATAAGGGCCAAGAAATTTCTGCAGATTTACTGTTACTCTTGAAACTACATTCATCTCAGAAACATCTCACGTCTTATCGGCGTTCAAAAAAATAATCTAGGCCATGACTCATTAATACTTGCATACGTGTTTCATTTGTGGCCACATTTCAGGGTTTTTTTTAAGCTAACAGGACTCCAGTCGTCTCCCAAACCGTTTATGATGTACAAAATCAAGACGTTTGACAGAGATAGGGAGGAAATTAACAAAACGCACATGAAGGAAACAAGAAGACTGATTAGAAAGCTGTGTTGTTCAGTAATGGCTGTAGCTCGGATTTGTGACTGATAAAATAAATAATAAAATTAATAGATTAGAAATTCACAGAAGGGCTGCTGCCACTTTAAGAGAAACAAGGACACAAAAAACATCTTTGAAGCTGAAGAAAAACACATTAAAGGTGGAAACATCTGAAGCTTCTTTCTTCCTTTTAATCTTTCTCTCAGAGCGGCGATGTTTCCTGAGGCACGATTAAAAGGAGCCGCTTCCGCACGCCGTCCACTTTCTGCGGAATTCACCAGAATGCCGTCCGCGTATGAACACACGACGGCTCTCCCGTCCGCGTTCTCCGCCTTAAAGCTCTCTTCCCTGTAACTAACGTCACCTTCCCCCAAAACAAAATGGCAGCCAGTTACAATGTTATAATTCCCATCAGGCACAGTAGTGAGAGCTGTTGGACCTTAGGGGGGCCCAGCCAAAGCTGACACCGTACTTAAGGGCATGACCCCAACAGGAATAAGATGAGCTGAAATGAAATGAAAATGAACACAGGGCTCCTGCGATCTGGAAAAACCACGTTAAATATTCTATCCCCTTGGCAAGTGGACTGAAGCGAAGTGAAAAGATATAAGAAATGTGACCGATAAAGATCACTGAGATATATCACATGGGAGGCTGCTGTAAACACGCTTGCTGAGAGACACTGACCAGCTAAAGCCTGTATAGAGCTCAGGTCTGCTAGGGGAATTAAAACAGGCAGAGTGAGTGGCGGCCCCCCAGGACAGGGTCCCTCTCATCTCCCCCACTTTTTTCGCTCCTCTGTTCTGAACCGCCACCGGGGCCACGCCGTTAGGGCGTCGGGAAACACCAGAGAGCAGTTTACTCTAAAGCGGCAAGCTTTTTTGCAGATGTGCAGCCTGGAACTGATAGGAATTGAAGCATATTTCTTTCACAAATGGGGCAATAAAAACAATAACAAAAGCGACAGCAATAACAATAATGATCTGTCTTGACAGGTAAAGCGCTCAACGACATTTTTTGGATCTGTGCATAAGTTCAGCTGCTGCTTTCCTCGAAGAACTTCTAGTGTTTGAAGCATTACTCCCGCATGATTACATGGCAATTACAGCGAATGAAATTCCACATTTAAACCTCACATTTAAGCGCTAAATGTTATTTACAGTACTTGCACATGTTCCAACACACAGCCAGAAGGTCTAATCTCTAGGCCCCCATTTACAACAGGAGCATTACATTGTGTGCCGGTGCGCTGTGTGGTTTGGCTTGCAAACTGTCATTGTTCCCGGACCGTAATGTGCGCTTTGGGTGTTTCTCGGAGCCTGATCTGCAGTGTTTTGTTGCGAGGTAGGCTTCGCGTGAAATGCCTGTAGTTGCGAATAGATTTATGGTTGGCCAGCGTCCTTCAACACGGAAGATTGATCCCAGCGTCATCTCTGGGTTTTGTGACTTACAGCCCAGAGCAGAGTGTGGTCTCAGAGATATTTTTGTGCTTCAGGGCGTGTGGTGATGTAGCTCTAGGCGATGCAGCAGAGGGTCCTTCTCATCTCAGCTGAGCCCGAAGGTGGCAACCCGACCTCTCCCTTGACCTCTGACCTCCCCCCCCCCCATTCCTGGTCATTCTATCATAGGCTTTTCACACAGGTGAAGATGTTTCAGTCCATTTCCTTCAGTGATACTTCAAGAAATCGTTATATGCAACCAGACAAAAACCGCCTTTTCTATTCCTTGTTGAGGTATATTAGATTTCCAAAAGCTTTTGGGTTTGCTTCATGAAGAAACTGTTCCAA